ATTCAATAAAATGGTAAAAATTCCTTAAGAAAGAAAAATGAAGAATTATATTTACAAAACAAAAACTTTTCTTGTAAGAGTCACTATTAAGAGAATGAAAAGACAAGCTTTGGCCTTGCAGAATCAACTGCCAAGTGACATACACAAATAAAGAACTTGGACCCAAAATGTGCACAGTTCGCTCACAGGAAAATCCATAAAACAAACACATGACCTGACTGAGAAATGTGCAACAGGAAAAATAGTCATAAAATGTCCAAGATACTTGCCAGCAATTTTAGAATGCCTCTCCATGCAAAGTCCTCAAAGTGAATGCCAAGGATCCCACTCCTCTTGTGTGAAAGGAGATGAGATCTGTATTACTATTACTTCTAGCTGGAGTTCCAAGTACTACTGTGTATTTCACACCCGTTCACACTGCTGTGCATCTAAGTTGACTGATTTCCTAGCTCAGAAAGGTCTTCATTTTTAGCTCTGTGCACTGATAGGCATCTATAGTTAAGTCTCTTAGATCTTGAGTCTGTTCAATTTACACAAGGCTGTTGAGAATTACTTTCCCTCCCCAGTATAGAGATAGTAAGGTTTTTCGTAATGAACAATATTTAAAATTAATTTTTGGTTACCAAATACTGGAATGGGTCTCATAATGTTTCTCATTATGTAAATGTGTGCTCATGTGCATGCATCCATGCATATACACACATATACACATGTATACTACTTTGTTCTGATTCGGCTCTGTCCTTCTTCTATACTCTGAATGGTTCCCCCTCTTCCCTCAAGTATTACCCCTTCTGATTTCAAAACACATGTACAGTCTTCTGCTCCAAACTGTGACATTTCTTTCTGCTTACCATTCCAAGATTGATCCCAATAGGTCCTCTGGTTGGCTACGAGGTGAAACACCGCTTTTTTGTTTTATTTTTCATTATTCATACCGTAGTAGTAAGCTGGTAGACTTGTGCAGGCATACTGGAAAAGCAGCTTTCTATTTTGAATTTTTATAAGGAATATTAGTTCCCCTGAAACAGTAGTGAGAAGTCAAAAAGCTCAGAACATTCTGCATAATGTCTACAAATTACTCAAACACACACCTGTATCTATGACCTGTTTCCTTTCTGTATTTTTAAGAATTTAATATATGTATACAATAAATTATGATAGCTAAACCTGATCCCCCGCCCCGACTCCCCTCATGTCCTGCTCCCAACTGCACGTCTCCTGCTTTGATAACCATCACTAAATCCACTTACCAGCGAGGGCTGTATAGAATGATTGCAACCGAGGTTGGAAATTCTTTACCAAATGTTTGACACTACCGTGTTTTAGTTTTTTTCGTAATTTTGAAGTTACATGTACATAATGAAGTATCTGGTGGGGCATACTAAAAACACAAAATTAATTTGTTTCACACACACCTTAAAATATTTGCATTTCTTTCAAAATGTTACCCATTGTTCAATTGTACTGTTTTTCTTTTTTCTTTATCTAAAAAAGTTTTCATTTTACATACCAACCAGTTTCCCCTCCCAACCCACCTCTGGTTCCCCACTCCCACCCCACCCCCACCTACCCACCCCCAATCCACTTCTCCAAAAGGGTAAGGCCTCCCATGGGGAGTCAACAAAGCCTGGCATTTTCAGTTGAGGCAGTACCAAGCCCCTCCCCCCTGCATCAAGGCTGACCAAGGCATCCCACCATAGGTAGTGGGTTCCAAAAAAGCCCACTCATGCACCAGGGATAGATCTTGATCCCACTGCCAAGGGCCCCTCAAACAAACCCAGCTACACAACTGTCTCCCACATGTAGAGGACCTACTTCGGTCCCATGTAGGCTCTACAGTATTGTACTGTTTTTCATAATTCTTGTTGAAACGCTTCAACAACGTTGTACAGCTTAACTCATTTTAGTTAATTTCCAATGTTATTTGATTTTTTTTATTATTATATTCAGTATTATTTGATTATAGGATTGATCTGTAAGGATTTAACAGAAGAAATGTGGTGTATTTTAATAAAGTCTACTTGCGTTGTGACAAAGAAAGCTTCTCTGAAACACAAGGAAAAAAAAAAAAAAACTAAAAGAACCCCGAAGACTTCTTTAGGAAATATTCTTCAAAACAGCTTCGTGGTATAAAACTCCCACTGTTATGCTGTTGCATTGGCATTCAAACCTCTTAGGATTTGTAAGGGGTTAATAATGAGACCTTAGTGCCTGAGACACAGATGGGAGTCTACCCAGATGGTATTCCAGAGCGGACCGAGCTCAGTGAGGGCGACTGGGGACCAGGGTGGGTTACCCTCTCCCACCTTCCCCCCGCCTTCCGGTGCTTTAGATTCTTCTTGTCCTTTGGTCGAGTGTCACCCACTTAGAGAGGAGATCCCGCATTAACACCCCGCAGCGACCCTCCCATCAGTTGTGCTGGAGATTCTTGGCGCCCGGGAGCTGGGCGGGTCGTCGGCCGGTACACGCTGGCAGGAGCGCCTGAGTCCCGGGAGGCAGAGGGTGGAGCAGGGGCGCAGCCGGGGCCACAGCGGGGCGACGCAAATCGCAGCCGCAGAGCTGGGTCCAGCCACGCGTGACCACTAAAGGGGACCCGCGCTGGGTGGCACAATCGGGGTTCTACACTAAAAACTTCCCGGGCTGCCACCGCCGCTTCTCCAAATCCCGCGCCTGCGCTCGACACTCGCAGATTCAGCAAGGCGCATGCGCGGGACAGCCGCGGCAGAGACGGACCCCGACAAGGACCTAAAGAGTGCGAGTTGGAGAACTCCGGATGAATGAAAAAGGGGGAAACACACACACACACACACACACACACACACACACACACACACACACACACACACACACACACACACACACACACACACACACACACACACACACACACACACACACACACACACACACACACACACACACACACACACACACACAACTTCAGGGGGAAACACACACACACACACACACACACAACTTCAGGGGGAAACACACACACACACACACACACACACACACACACACACACACACAACTTCAGCAAACCTAGGAACGTTTTCAGTTGTCATTCCGAGAGAGAAAACTTGTATTTTTGCACGTTCATAACCACGCTCCATTCTTTTGTAATCCCCTTTGTCTCGTTTCTAATGGTCCTGAACATTTCTGTTCGTTATTTTTTTTTTATTGAGGTGCACTGAAAACTTTACACTTAAGTGTGACAGGATTAATAAATGCAAAGTCATCAGGAAGTCTAACTATATAAGCCTGCGCTGTGACCCGGCTCAGCTTTCCTTTAAAACTTTAGCGATTTAGAACTGTAATTTGCTTTGCATCTCGTTTCTAAGCACCAGGTTTTACAGTGTCATGGTGAAAAGAGTAAGAATTTTTTTTAACTTTGATAAAAATGGGTTCTAAATAATTCTGCATATAACATGGAGAAATGCCTGGATCTTTAAAGTCTACAAAACCTGTTTTTTTTTTTTTTTTTTTTTAATGAAACCAAAAGGAATTGTCATTCTGCATGTTACATTAAAGCATGATGTTGCAAAGTTTCGTACCTGTACAGATCAAATCTTAGAAGTGAATGTTTGCTGCTACCCAAGGACACCTTGGAAAGGGACACTTTCTGCCCTCCTTCCTCTGAATAATACTAACAGGCTCCAAAGGGATGAAAAGAAAGGCATAGTGTAGCAGCAGGGATCAAAGTCCCCCTTTAAGCATAAATTTGAGTAGACCAAATTACTTTTTATAAAACTCATTTTCACTACATTATGCCAGTTCTCCATAATTGTCCATTCCTGTGACCTGTAACTTTTACATGTGAAAAAACAGAGTAAATTTATGTGTCTTGTTTAAAAAAGAAAAAAAAAAGAAAAAAGAAGAGTTCGTGTTAGTAGGCAAGAACACTGAAGGGAAGAATATGCGATTCCATGGTTCGGGGTTGGGTTGCCTCTGGTGCCTTTGTTATAGGGTCAGATTCTTACAGGGAAACACGGCCTTGCTCACAAAGGAAACCATTTACTTTATCCCATGAGTTGACAAGGGTTTTTCCACAAAAGAAACAGCAGACCTTTAGGAAAACTCGTCCCCATTCTCCTCAACAACTGCTGAGTCAATGTAAATTTAGCCAAAGCTTAATTAAAAACCGTAAGATGTAAGAGGTGACAAAAAAATCCTAGGAAGGTGCCCATGGTATGAGGATGCAGAAAAGGTGGTAATTAGGAGAATATGGACCCTCTTCCCAGGAGAAGACCTCTCAGACAGAGTGGGTGAGAAAGTGCTTATGTGATTTGTGGACCAAGGTGCAAATCTGGGCATTGTCTCAGTTTCTAAACTCTACAAATTTTGTGCGGATAATACAAACTTCAGAAATATAGTTAACAGTGGTATGGTAAATGCTTGATTTGAATGAAGGCAAGGACTGGGGCTAGAGTGATTGCCCAGCAGTTAAAAGCACTGGCTGCTTTGTCTTGGACCAGGGGTCCTGGTAGCTCAAGACATTCTAACTCCAATTCAAGGCACCTTCTTTTGCCCTCATCTGGCACTGCATGCATGCACATGGTGCACATACATACATGTTGACAAAACACTCATACGTTTAAGAATAAATTTTTAATGGAGATGAATCATTAGCTCAACTACCACGGCTGTCACTTGGTACTCAGCTGAACACACACACACACACACACACACACACACACACACACACACAGCACTCATTAGCATTGACTGATTAATCTTCCATCTGAAATTCTGGGCAGCTGCTCCACCTATTCTGTGTCCAATGTGAAACCACTTACACACTTTGAGGGAGAACAACGAGCACTTCCCATAATCAGACGAATCAGCCTGAAAAGGAGGAGGAACGGATTGGGCAAAACCCAGATGGAAGCTGCTGTGATTGTGTGATGAGGATAAAAGCTGATTAGATGGAGGTTATGGGCAGACAACATGATTAACACAGTGGATCTGAAGATTTAGTAAAGTCAGAATTTTTTCGTTTATTTCAATTCAGTACATGAGAGAAATGAGTTAAAAGTACTAACATTGATTTCCAGCTTGGAAGTTTTTGAGTTGTTACAAAAAAAAGCAAAGTAAAAAGGTGAATATGAGATGGACATATGGGTTCAGATCCTGAAATCTGCAGAGCGCAGTTAGGAAACACTGTCATGCTAGGGCGATGACACACCGGTTGCTTTCTTCTGAAATGAGTTTGATGAAACCCACAAGACATTCGCAACATGGTTATAGGGTTTGTTCCAGGTGAGATTGAAGACAAAAGTTATCTGCATAAATACCTAGAGAGAGTTGATGTCCTGGGTGAAACTGCAATGGAGAAGGTGATGGAGTATACATCATGAGAAGACCATCATCTATGAGAACCCGAGGAGGAAGCCAGGGAATACCAAAGCTCTGGAGTGAAGGGCTCACAACAGAAAAATAATGGGAGATGCAGAAAACAGAGGCGCTAGAATGGAACAATGAGAAGTTAGCAAGGAAAAGATATTAAAGTATTGAATACAGATTTGGGTGGTGACAGCAAAACAACCATTTAGGTGGACAAAAGTAAGGAAAACATTGCTGAAGAAATGGCTTAAGAAAACGCAGACAGAATTGTATAAATTATAAATGGAACAGATGTTAGAGAGACAGGTGGAAACATAGAGCAAATGGAGAGATGTGTGTGAAAAGTGTTACCCTGCCTGGGTTTGTGTTTGTATTTGTGCATATCAACATGGGCTTGTGTATGTTCAGGAATACTTCGTGTATGTTTCTGTGTGAAATGTACATGTGTGTTCGTCAGTATCCATTTGTATTTTTATATTGTTAGTGTACAGTGTATATTAGAGGGTTGTGAATCTGATTTTATGTGTGCACATGTGTAAATGTTTGCTTTATGAGTTGGGTGAGCATTTACATAAATGAATTTCTATGTGTGTGAAAACTTGTTTCTGTATGAAATATGCTGGTGTGTTTGTGAATCAGTATATCATTAGGGGACTCCTTGAATAGATGCCTATGCATTTGTGTATGTTTGGATGTATAAAGTGTAATATGATCCCACAGCTATCCTGGTTCTTAATCTTAAGCTCAACTGTTTTAATTATATACCAAAGGGAGAACCTGTAAAAGCATCTTTCTGTGCCCTTAAATATGTGTTATATTAACAAATACGCATGTGGATGGTATATGCTTGTGAGGTATATTAGTATGTGAATGCATATACAATGAGATCTGTGTATTACGTGCATCTGCTACAGTGTTGGACTGTGCAACTGCTGTGTTTGTGGGATTACTGTTCCTGTGTATTATTTCTCTATGTGTGTACTGGTGAGTTTATAGTGAATATGGAATTTTGTGGCTGTCTGTAAACGTGTATACCTTTGTGTGTGGGTGTTTATGTGCATGGCAGAGTGGACACCAGGGCTTGGGGAGGAGAAAATTTTGTGTTCCCCAGGCACTTTCTTACACTCTAATGGAAATTACAGTGTTATATTTTCACAGTTGTTCACTGTGTAATGATCAAGTCAGGATATTGAGACTAAATTCTCAAATATTTGTGATTTTATTGTGATGAGAACATTCAAATTTTGTTTCCTATTTTAAATATTTTACTACTGAATATAATTTTTCTGTGTGATAAAGACCAGAACTCAACCTTCTGCCTCTGCCTTCCTGATCATTAACCACTCTCCCTATTCACCCATCTTCTCGACACTCCCTGACCTCTGGTCACTGCTATTCAATCTCACTTCAATAAGCCCAGCTTTGCTAAATTCCACAGGAGTGAAATCATTCTGTTTCTGCCATCTCGGGTGTCAATTTTTTTTTATGTAAATTGGTTTCCAGGTCTAGTTATATTGTAGCAAATAGTAGCATTTTAATCATTTCACAGATGGATTGTGTATTCATTCACACATAAAACTAAAAAAGAAATTAAAGAGCACATATGGTAAAGAGATGCAGGACAGTGGTGTAATAGCATACAGAGTCCAAGAAAACAATCACAAGCTACATCTTTAACCAAGAGTTAGAATCCCAAGTACATATCAAATTCAATAATCCAACAAAACCCTATGTAAATTTAAAATGGGCCATTGTTCTGTGTGCTATATTCATGTGCCGTGTATTCAGGTTCATGCAGCAATGGGTGGATGCACAGATAAAGACCACAGGCAAATGCTGGCATCCTCTCCAGGGTTTCAGTGATCATTTCAATAATTCTCAAATACTTTACTGCAGAAAGCTCAAGTAACTATAGAAAGATAAGTACAAAAGACACAGGCAAGAGTGTATTCAGCTTTATATTACCACATGGCTATACCAAAGCCTATGATCTATCAGGAAACTGATGCCTGCACCTGCAGCAGCTGGCAGACCTACCTCTCTTTTCCTGGTGATTGCAGCAGTGATCCACAGCTTGGTCTCACACTGAAGCCCAGTCTGGCCTTCACTGACAGTACTCCTGACTTGGCCCCCAAATGCTTGCATTACAGACATCTGCCATCACGCTTGGCTTTCCGTTAAGACACTTAAAAATGTCCTCTTTGAAATCCAACAAATTACATTTTGATTCACCACAAAACAAAGGAGTCAACTGTATTAAAAATCTGACAATTTCCACTCTGCATTGTTTTACATACTTACATTATGTGATTTGTGTGTGCATTCACCTACATATATTACACATTTCTGTGTATGTGTAGGAAGGGTTTTATATTTGTAACGTATGTATCTGCACATATGTGATAACTCTATGGATGCTCCATTTTTACACATATAAACATAGACATTCAATTGTTTCTGTCTCCATATGAGTGACTGAATTCTATAAACTTCCACATATGTTCCTGTTCACACAATGTCTCCCAGATTCTTCCATGTTTGTTTCACTTGTAAATCTGTAGTCCTAAAATTCTACTGGGTTCCTGTACCATTTTTAATCAGCTGTCAACTTACATTTTGGTTATTTCTAAAATGTTACTGTTCTGATGTAGGTTGCTGAACATTCTTTTAGTTGAGTAATTTCACAGTGAAGAATACACCTCCACACCATATTTACGTACCAGTAACACTCTTACAAGCAATGTAAAATATTACCTTTTTCCCCAACCCTCAACAACTTAAGTGTTTGCAAATACTTGGGTCTTAGGTAACTTTAAATTTTTAATTTTAATAAGTGCCATGATTAAGGACGCTTGAAGGGGTTTCCCAGATTACAAGAAATTACATTTATTTTCTGTTCAAGTTCTCTTCATATTCATATTGATTTATTAATAAAATTAATTCATAATCTTATTTATCTTGTTTTACTGAAGACCTTATACACTATAGAAATACGTTCTTGTAGGATTTGCCATTTTGAAAACTTTTCTCATTTTACTTTTATGTGTATGGTATGGTTGTTTGGCCAGCATGTATGTCTATGCACCACATCCATGCCCATGTCCACAGAGGCCAGATGAATGTGTCAGATTCCTTGGCACTAGAATTACAGACCATTGTGATCTGCCAGACGAGAACTGGGAAGTGAACCAGGGTCTTCTTGAAGAGCAACCAGTGCTCTTAACTTTGTATCCATCTCTCCAGCATTTTATTTTTGAATTATTATAAAAGAAGTTTTTCTTCTGGGCTTGCTCGTGCAAATTTTTGAGTCCCAATTTAAGTTAGTTACATCTGTAAGACAACGCAGGGGCTGAGAAGTCAGACCTGGAATCTGACAGACTATCACTGACCCTGCCCTGTGGCCGTAGAAATCTCAACCTCCCTAAGTCCCAGTTTTCCCAATGGCTGCAAGCCATTAATAACAGAGTTTACATGTGAGGGCAACTGGAAAAATCAAATGAGATAATATGTCCTTAGAATAAACAGGAGCATATCATAATCTCCATGCAGTTTTTGTTTTTAACTAGGTATTGTTAAGTGTTAAGATTTCTGTCCAAAATGTTTTAGAAAGGTGTTCTTGACTGTAAGACTTTAAAAATATACGAGGCCCACATATTAATTTTCTAAGTGATTTTGTAGTTCATTCTTTACTGAATAACACCAGGTTGTTTTAATGATCTACATCACAAACTTTAATCTAACATATGTCTATTTATGAGTCTGATAAATATACACTCTTGGGTCAGCATTGTGGTACATGTCTGCATACATGAACACACACACACACACACCACATATTTTAAAAATATGTGAATTTGAACACCACACTTTCCTCTTCATATGTGGAGTACATGGCAATATGTCCTATATGTGTCAGGGTTCATTCACTGACTCTCATTCCCCTTGTTCTCAAGCCATGCTTTTGTTTCACTTCCAGAGCAGCACCCCATCATATAGAGCTGTGTTTTGATGTTGTTGAGATATAATCTTACTATGTAGTAGTCAGGCTTCAAACTCAAGATCTTTATGCCTTTGCCTCCAGAATACAAGAATTACTAATATTTGCCACTAAGCGTGGCTTTCTTTTACTACTATAAACTGTTCAGACTTTACTAATTGTGTTTACTATAGCATACAGATTCCCCTAAGTTTCTTCCTTTTCTTAAAAATTATAAATGGCCTATTTGAACTTCAATAGGGTATCATTCAAAACACAATTTTAATACCAAATTTCCCTATCAAATTGGGTGGAATATTTCATGTCTTAAGCATTAAAACTTCTTGAAAAGTACTTCTTTTCAAGAATTTATATATTAATATCTATTTCTGCACCTTCCTACAATAAAAACAGGTCTTTTGCTGTCTATTTACTGCTTTATAGTAGATAGTTCATAATAGAATTTTCATAGTGCCTTACTTAGCTTTTTATGATTTTCTAGATAATTCTGGGTTTTGAACATACAATGCCTCACCCATTAAGACAGAAAGCTGCATACTCTCTGGAAGATGCCACACGTGGGTTTGTTTCATTTTGTTCTTTTATGCATTTGTACAAATTTACCCATCAAAATAATGCTTACTGACAACAGAGAGAATTCCTTTTTTCCTGATCAAAATCAAAACAGATGGCTATGATTAGTAGCAACATATTAAAAGGATAGAAATGCTGAAATATTTTATTATGGTTGTACTATTCATTTTTTACAAAACAATTCATAAGACTGAACACTTGTGTGTTTATCTATTAACTGTGTTACTATTGATATAGAATTGTCAATCATAACACACAAGTAAAAGTATCCTTTCTATTGGTTAATTTTTGAATTGCATAAGATAGAACTAAAATAACTTATTATTTAGAGGTTTTATGAAGAAACACAATTTAAATAAAATATGGGTAAACTCTTCTCTTGATTTTTTTTGTTAGTGGATAGGTTTCTTTTCAGTTGTCATGTGGGTGAACAATGCATACTCAGGTATGTTTAATAAAATCCCTGTTGCAAATTCTTCCACTGTATGTTATGATATGGTTTCATTTCTGCTCATTTTGTTGATAAAGATGGGTAGTGTAGTATACACTTTATAAACTGTTTTAATGCAGCCTCTCTATTTAATCCTTTAATTTTTCTCTAATTTAATAGTTACTTTCATCTCTTGATTTTTTATTTTATGTACATTTAACAAAACTCAGAATTCAAAGGAGATACATACATACATACTTATGTATGTCACATATTGATATTACATGCACTTTATTTTACCAAACTGATTAATAATCTTTAGGCACATGAAGGTGTTTGTATGGTTATTTCTTTTAATAAAAAAAAAACTTTTATTCTGTAATCTTTATTTTCCTAAAATACATCAAAACTTTTATTCTGTAATCTTTATTTTCCTAAAATACAACCCAACCCCTCCTGTTAATTCTAATATGCTATTAGCACATTCTAGTTTTGTACCAACATTCATAGATGTTCATATGAGAACAGTTCCTATTCAACTTTGAATTAAACCAACCATTTCACTGTGATCCACTACATGGTCAATTATTTTGGGTCAGCATTCCATCAATGCTGCATATATTTTCATGGCAAAATTTTTGACAAGTTAATTGTTTCTTGGCACTAGTACTGTGTTATTTCCTGAAAATATCTTTTCTCAGCTATGCCCCAATGCCATGCAGTTGTAGATTGGGATAAGCTATGGTAGCAGAAACCACAGTGCTAAGATCGCCAAACATGGAAACAGCAGTGCATAAAAGACAACTGACTAGGGACTGATAAGGTTTCTTTGTGTCTGTGAAATTTTGTATGTAGAATCAGTGATATGAGCTGTGAGAATCAATGGTTTCTATATATTTACTGAGTGATAACTTTGGAAATTTTCACTAGCCTGGTTGTAGCTATGTATATCTCCCAAATTTACACTCAGGAAGCATAAGCAAATTAAATGTGTTTCATCAGGCTTTCTGTTGCAGCTAGAAGGACAGTTCTTTTATGGAGCTCCCAAGCTCTTCTGAGGTGGGGGCTGCCTGTTCAGAATCCCTCACAAAGCAAACCTTTGTGTGGCAAGGGGTCCTTTGTTCCCCAATACAGCAGGCCTGTAACTATACCCCTCTTGGGAAAGAAGAGGAAAATTCACTTGGTTTTGGTGGCTGTGACATCTGTTATTGACCTTTTTCTCAACGAATTGATGAGGGAAAAAGGAACTTTGATTTTTCAAAAGCATCTTGTCATTTCCCCATTATGCATCTGGTACAAAAAATACTTTTGCTGTTTGGGATTCTTAGACAATTAAATAGAACATGTTTAGTTTTAACGATTTCTGCTGGGAAAAAAAAAATGTCTATTGAAGCTACTTATGTAAGGGTGTTAGGTACTACACCTATATCCTACAAATATAATCTCAAAATAATTTTTACCCTGAGTTCCAAAGATTAATAAAAGAAAAACCTAGCAAAATATTCATATTCAGGTAATAATTGTCACTTGGGTTGATAAACATGCAGATTCTACTTGGTGGTAAGCTCTTTTAAAGATGTTTCAAGCCTTTTCCCTACACTGCACTTGAGCTGCACAATTATCCTACAAAACAGGTAACACTGCACCCATTTCTCCTATGTATAAACTGAGGCAGAGGACATAAATACTCACTTAGATGGCATGACTTTCAAGAAGCTCAATCAGGACTCAACTGTCCTGTAATCTGTCTTCCATGCCATTTTTCTACTGGCCTTAAAACTACTATAACTCCTGACATTTATTATGACTTCCTATTTCAATATACTCATTGAATAAAATTCTGTCATTTTATGAGGTTGTGCAGTGTACACTAAGAGACTTTCCAGAGCTGTCAAAGCTCAAATCAAGCCCCCCACCACATCTTAGCCACTATGGAAACTCCTTGAGAGTTGACAATCAGCAGTCCTCATTAAGTGCCCCATCTGGTCCCATTCTTTAGTTGGTTTATCTGACCCACCCCCAACTCCTAGCCCATGGGAAAATAGCTGTCCAGGGCCTCCTAACCGATGCACTATGTGGAATTAAGAGGGAAGCATTATGCCATATCCCATAGAGTACCACAGTTTCAGAGTACCAGTAATTACATCAGAAGGGAGAGGGCATGCTACAACATGGGAAGCTGAGCTACACTTGTGAACAATAGACTCTGAAACACTGAGTCTTGCAACTCACAGATAAAAGCCCCCAAATGCCCCATTTTGTGGAAGCTTGTTCATGCCCTGCTGCACCTGGCTGATCAATCCAGGCTTAAGAGCTGCACATGAAGCCACACACTTTTTCTGAGCCTTAATATGTGTGGGGTAGGGGCAGCAGTCATCTAATTTCAAGTGTTCTGTAAATGTATGACTTGTACTCCATTCTTGCTGTGACTACTTTTTCTACCTCATTTATTTCACCACATAGGAAAAATTACAAGTGTAACACAAGGGCCTTCTGACAAACCAGTACTTCAAAGTATGCTTTGTAACAAAATATAAATTCTGCAATTTGGCTTTGTTACTTGCTACATAGTCAGAACATGGTGTACACCAGAAAATGGAGATCCATAGCATAATTTTGAGCAACTTCAGCCAAGAAAAATATACTCTGTTCTACACAATTGGGAGGCTTGAATCTGTACTGTTTAGTGACCGAATAAAAATTTATTCATTTACTAAAAGATGTAGTAAAACTGTCCACTGAGCACTTGAACTGTGCTACCTCTATGAATTCTTCATTTGCTTAACTTGTGTCATATAAGTACAAAATATGAAGTTACATATTCGAAATCAATTATAATTTATTGCTTTCACATTTCTCTCCTCCAGCAATGTTTATTAGAAACTCGGTCTATTGTACTGACAGCAGCTGCACAATTACTTTTACCCCCAATCCTCCTGATTTCTCATTTTAACTGTAATTGTGCATGTTAAGTAGAATGTAGATTCATTTAAAGCAAGCAAAATAAACTTTGATTTTTTTAAAAATGGCTCTTAGATCAAACTATGGCTTATTTGCATTAAAAGACACCAGTATTATTATGTTTAACATTTTAAAAGTCCTATGCCTCACTTTTTTATTTCCATTCTTATATTCTGTTTCAATATTTATTATCATTTTCTCTGGTGGTCTTATAATTTTTATTATGAAATTTTTTATCAACAGTCCTTTGCTTCTAAAGTATAAAAAGAACCAGATATTTAAGATATGACCATAAACAACTGTGTATTTGAGTTCAGGAATTGCCACCGTTAAGAAAAATGAGATGTTGGCTACATGCAGAGGCACATGTATTGGTAATTATAACAACAGAGAAGCTGTTAATGCTATCATAGGAATTATCAAAGTCATGTTTTATAAGTCCTTTAAAAAGAGTCCAATACACATAGCAGTCATTTTTATTAATGCTAATCACTGACATCAGTGCAGGGGCAGAGAAATTATCCACACAATTCACACACAGTCCATACATCTAGACTTTAACATTAGGCTTTCAGTTCTGCATTTATTTCATTACTTCAAACATATATATTATGGTGGGTATTTGTTTCCAACGTTTTCAAGTACATCTTTGTATACATATACGCATATATATCATTCTTAAATATATATTTCCAAATATAAATAATTTCACATCAAGCCAAACAGGATAAAAACATGTAAACATATGCACCTCATTTTGGTCAAGTAAAACAGAACCACAAAGCAACCACAAGTTAACAAGTGCACTTGAAAGAGAAGGGAAGAAACAGACATGTAAACAAACACAGACAGCAGCTGCAAGGCCCTGTAAGGGTCCTTTTTTTTTTTTAAGGCTATATAGCAAAAGCTCATAATTCAGTTAAAGACTTTTGTCACCTTGTCACATTTACTCTTAAGGGACTTCACAATGAGAAACTGTAAACACTAGACTAGAAGTGATTGAATCCTGTTGGAAAAACACCACAAGTCATCAGCTGACAGAAATATTAATTCCACCAAACAATACTTTTAAGATTTCTTGTTATTTTGCAACACAGAGAAACATCACAATCCTAGTGAGAAGAAATGGGAAATAGAGAAGAAAACAGCAATACTGCATAAAGATTGCCGCAACAGCCTTTGAAAGCAATAGGTTTGTCATTCAGTACAGGGAAATAAGCAACAGCAGACAACAGAGCCTTAGCAGACTAGACCACATGCCACAGCATGATACTACAGATTCAAATTGAAATATTCTTCCAGCTGGTACTGAAGAAAGAGCCAGCGGTCATCAGTGAAGGAAAAACTGCCTCTCAGGCAAAGCAACTTCTTAAGCAACTGATTGGCAAGGCGAAGCACAGAAAGCTCCTTTTTACGGCTTTTAAACAGCACGTTTCCCTCTCGCCATTGCACGGGCTTCAAAACTTGATGCCAGTATGCGTTTGACGATCCACCACCATCTGGCCTCGGAAAATGATCAAACCAGCCCTCGGGATATTCATGCTTGTAAAAACAGAATTCTCCAAATGGGCAGTGACCTAGGCCTCCAGCAAAATACCTGCAGGCTTTGTGGCTCATTCCCTCCTTATATTGCCGAACAAGTTTCTCCTTCTCCTCTTCCTCTTCCACCCAGAACTCACTAGGAATGACAAAGCCAGAGGAGACCCTGCACTGTGGGCAGGACTTACTGATCCTGTTCTCAAACTGTGTGGCACTTCTCCACCTGCGGATACACCTAAGACAGAAGGTGTGGTTGCAGCTGAAAAGGATGCCAAAGCGGCGGTCCCTGGGGTCGGCTTTCTCATAGACAACCTCCATGCAGATGCCACACACTTTGTCCATGCTGCGCTGCACAGCAAAGGAGAGCTCCATATCTCTCTCATGGGCTTCAATGCAGGCCCTTCTATGCATTTCCTGCTGGGCCGCATCCCAAGGGTGCAAGGCCTGCTGCCCGCACATGTCGCATATTTCTCCATGGGGGTATGCACAGCGCTCCCCGCGGAGGCATTCTCCCCGGGCAGCAAAGCGGCAAAGCGGCAGAAGCATCCCCATGCCCATAACCATGTGCTCTCTGTCAACTGGCGGGCTCCTCATAGCCATGTGCTCTCTCTCAATTGGCGGGCTCCTCATAGCCATGTGCTCTCTCTCAATTGCCTGGCTCGGCAGAGGAGCCTCGGGACCATGCGGGGGGATCATGCGACCTCGGTAGGGCTGTCCAGGAACAAACTCAATTGCCCCCTCCCAGCCTTCCGCACCCGCTCCTCCCGTAGCAGCTGCTGCTAGGCCTGCATCGTCAATCTCTGCTTCAGAGAAGCCCCCTTCAGCAGCTGAGCCAATGCCTGCACTGTCAATCTCAGCTTCAGGGAAGCCCCTTTCAGCAGCTGAGCCAATGAGAGGCAAAGAGCTGGAGGATGCAGTAGGGGGGGCTTCCGCCACTTCCTGAGTCGGGGGCTCCCACTCAGTGGCCATCTTGGGCCCTCTATCTGCAGAGGCCCGAGGCTGAGAATCTTGGCCCCCCCTAGCTTTCCGCCGCCCAGAGAAGTCATGAGAATAGCGACAGTTATCGCCCTCCTTGCACTGCCCATGCAGATAATACCTGCAGAGGATTTGCTTTGTCCAGTTGCCGCTGTTGCGCTCAGAACGAGACCTGGCTCCGCCCCCTTCGGCTGGAGCCAGCCGAGGACTCGCCGTGCGTCGGTTTTCAAGCACAGGAACCACAAGAAAGGGTGCCAGGCCCGATGCCTCTTGCACAGAGGCTGAACTAACCACCGCAGAGGCTCCAGAAGCCTCAAACTCGGGAAGGGGAGGAACAGACACACCCTCCCCCCCCTCAGCACCTGCCTCGGCACCTGCGGCCGCGTGGGGCCTCCTGGGAGCTGCAGACTCTTCCATTGGTGCTACGCGTCCCTTAAACTGTCCAAAAACCGTCTAATATTATATATTTTTTGAGTTTGAATCGGCGGACCTAGAGCTGGACCGATCGGCGGATTCTCGGGCGGAAGTGCACCAATTTTTGTCTTCCCACTAGAAACCGACCCCCTGTGAACTTTAGTTCCTACCTGCTTGCTGGCAGACGGACACTTCCTGTTGAAACACCACTTTCCGTGTTTAAGCGGAAGTTGCTTCCGCCATGTTTTTCTCGCACCGCTATCGGCTTACAGAGCCGTGGTCGGTCTTTCCTAATGCAATTCTGGAGCCCCCAGACCCCGTTTCCACATTGTTTCCCCTCAAGGTTGATGTTTTAATCACTCCCGGTTTCGATCGTACGCATTGTATTTCATTATTTTCCTTTTTGTGTAAGAAAACGCTACAGTCCTTGCCGTGACAGTCTGCGGCTCTTGGAGTTTTTAAAACATTTCACGCATAAATATTACAACTTATTTCTCTGTTTACTCTGTCTTTTGTCTATGGGTGACGAATTTTTAAAATCCAATATTGTCTCTGCCGAAGCGTTTCTGCTTTGGCGCCTGTAGAAACGACAGGATTTCTTCGGGTCTTTATTCCCTTGAAGGGTTAATTTGGGTGTACTTTAATTAGAAGGGAACCTCTGACCTGAAGCTATTTAGCGCCTTTCAAATGCCTGTCTTGTCACTTCCCCCACACCCCCCACGAACAGTGTAGAAGCCGGGGCTTTGACCAGAGTTTACGGTAGCTTAATAAAGGTCGCAGAGTGACCCAGGTTTTAACTTTTCTCTGTTGGTTGGATTCACAGAGACCCTTTGTTTGCCGCCTTTCTTTGCATCCTGTGCTGAGCCTTTCAAAATACCAGCCTAAAGCGCCTCATTTCCATTTCCATACTGAGTTATTTTTTTTCATTTTGTATATATATTCTATTTGGCTGATAATTTATTTATGTATTGCTAAAACGCTAAGTGTACTTACCATGCCTACAAAGGACTATTACAATGTTTTATGGGCTTTTTTTTTTTTTAGTAATAATCATGCTTTCTTCCTTTCCCTACTGACTATTTGAATTTACGTTTCAAATATTTAAATTACTACTCTTTTTGTCTAAAAGAATTTTGTTTGAGGGAATCCTATAGCATAAGTATAAAGAAACTTTATGTCTATGATATAATCATCCAAATCAAAGTGTAAGTCCCAACTAAACAAAACCGACAAAACAACACTAAGCAAGGAAGAATATCATCAAACAAGAAAAGTAATAAAACCAGGGAAATGAAGCAAAATAAAAATGAAATAGGGAGACTAGAATAAACAAAAAGATTCTTGTGTAACTTACTTAGAAAAACAAAAAAGATTCAGATCTCCACTATCACATATTTTAAAAGAGCTGGCACTAATTAATAACAAACCTTAAAGCCAGGAAATGTTTTTAGTGCCAATAATTTATAACAAACTTAGGAACAATCAGATGACATTTAGGTAAAAGATATAAACATGAAACTTGCAACTTTTCATTAAATGGCTATATATCTAGAAGCATCCATTAGTAAAAAAGAGCAGAAACAGAAATAAAGATCCATTAATTAAGTGGCTTATGTGATTAAGAAAATTCCAAAATGATGCATTTTAAAAATTTTACTCTGAAATGCACATAAAGTTTGAAAGGCTTGTGTTGTTTTAAACCTCTTACTTATACATCAGGGCAAAGACATAAAATATGTTGGAATCAGAAAGTAGTAAGTTCATTAACAGGTAAAAATTGATAATTATGTATAGAAAAACCATTTGTTTATCCACATATTTAGCAAATATCTACACAGAAATTCAATAAAGAAAAAATCATATATCATGTATACAGACATAAATGATCTTTAAATATTTAAAGTGGATGGCATTTATGGTAACTAAGGTTGTTTGTCTTGTGAACTTTAATGTGATCAACTCAAAATGACTTTTACTTAGATATAAGGGCTCCTCCATGATCAATATTTAATATTTTTAAAGGTAAACTTCTTGATTGATCATCATTCCCTAGTTTTCCATCATGAATAAAGGAACCCTTGTTTGTATGTCCTTTTTTCCTTTGCATAGTCCTTATGATTTTTCATCTGGATAATAGCTTCTCCAAAATCTGATACATTTGAATTGCCTAGAATATACTTTCTCTTTAGACTTCAAGCTATATTAGTTAATGGGGACTCTTTTAACAGCCCAGTGAATTTTTAAATATAAAAAGGCTTACTGTATAGATCTTAGCCTTATAGACCAAACTACCCACAATTGACAAACCTAAGAATATTGATTATTTGTAGATCCCACACTTAGTTGTTCAGCAGTGATTTATCCTAAACACTACATATAAATTACATCGATCCTATTTTTATATGCCATCAGAAATTTCTGTGAACAATTTATAAGTGTGCATTTCAGTTCACTAGCCTCCTTTGGCTTCTCAAGAATTGAGATGCAACTTAAGTTGATCAGGATCTCTCTTTTAATTTTTAGGATTATAATTATAATTCAGACAACCACTTCAAACTAATACCCACTATATTAAACAGTTAACTTCAGTGTAGACATTGACCACACTGCCTCCTCAAACTTTAAGTAACTGAGAAATAAGTAAAATATTTTGTAATGTTCTCAAGGCTTTGCTGCTAGGGCTGAATGATAGGAGCTTTTTAATCACCACCTGTTTGGCTCTCAATACCGTGTATGTCGTTTCCTCTACTGCATAGTGACTATATATGTAACAGTGCTATTTAAAATATCATATTAGAAATTAAATTCACATACTAAAATCTTTAAAGTGACTGTAAATACTGGTTCTGGTACCTTGAGAGAAATAAACAGCTATTTTATATATTGGACAAGTTACTACATACAGAGTACTTTCTCTAACAGCCTGAATCCATATTTCTTTCATTCCCTTCTTTTATCATTATCCACTTTCTTTCTTTACATTACTTCTTTTAGCATGGATGTGTTCACACAGTCTCTGAAAACATACCTCTGATTATTTCTTCAGTTATGTGGTTCAGCAGAACTGTCTTTTCTCAGGCAAATCCAGAAGACCATCAGAGGATGAGCCTCAATGATGGGTGTCCTGATTGTCCAGCCATAGAATATCCAAGTGGAGCAAGGAATAGCACGCACTGAACCAGGCTGTGTGAAGAACTGTGTTGCCAGGGTACAGACTGACAAGGGCAAAGGTGGAGGTTGAAGGCGGTGCACAGGAGAGGGAAAATGTAGACAGCTTGACAGATAGCTCCAGACACTGAAGACTGGACTGTGGGGCTGTATAGAAAAAGCAGCTGGTCCCAGGTCTTTCTTTCTAAGGCACAGAGCTGCTGATCCCACCCCCACACATTCAACATGTCCACAGTTAAAAAGAACACAATAGTCTCAAAGCAACTTCTTTCACAATACTGCTGTGCTGCCCAAGTACTGTTTCAAGGTACTGGAGGAGCAGCTGAGGACAGGGATTAAATGTCTAGTTGAGCTTTATGGTTTTCACTTCTTCCACCACGTACCTGGCATCTTTGTGTCACAAGTGTTAATTTTACACTTTTACCATGTTTGATCAGCAAAAGAGTATTAACCGTGAAGAATGAAACTGAACCAGGCATAGTGGTGCATGGCTAGAATCATAGTATTAAGGGGTGCAAATGATAGGAGTCCCAGGAGTTTCAGGCCAGCCTGAAAAAAGAAAATAAAAGCAAATAATGACTGCTTGACAACTGTTCTGTAAGTATTACATTTATTTCACATATAAAAATAAAATGATTTGAGCAATATTGGTGCCTAGAGCCAATGTTTCAGAAATTTACGTATATTTTCTAGTTTAGACTCTCCCAAAGGATCTTCTGACTAGTCTCTATCCTTGTCAGTTCCCATTTCCCACTAGATTCATGCAGCAGTTATACATGACAGGGTTCCTGAAAGTTTTGAGGACATGAACTATTATCTTATATCTACATAAAAGCTTATTTTTATGTTGAAAATTTAAAAGCCAGTTGTATGTAATTTGAGTCCAAAAGGTCAGATACAAGCATTTTTCTGCATGAAGGAGGGCATTTGTCTCTCTGTTATTATGATGGCCATGGGATTATGGTTGGAATCTAAATGGGAATTTATGGGTGGCTATATCTTGTTTATGATGACCCTGAGTGGATAATTGGATAAAAACAGGATCACTTCTCAATTTTTATTATCTAAATCTTTCGTGTGTGTGTGTGTGTGTGTGTGTGTGTGTATGTGTGTGTGTGTTTGTGTGTGTGTGTGTGTGTGTATGTGTGTGTGTGTTTGTGTGTGTGTGTGTGTGTGTGTATGTGTGTACCATATGTATGTTAAAGGACAGCCTCTGTTATCTACCCTCAGCTTCTACTCTATTTGAGACAAGATCAATTTGTTGTCTCTTCTTGTGTATGCTGGATTCAGGGGGAAGTGTCCTGTGTCTACTTCCCATCTAACCATAGGAGCATTGTGATTACAAACAGGTGCCTATCATGCTGGACTTTAAATAAAATTTTGTGAACTTGAACTCAGGTTCTCATACTTACATAAGTTAAGGGTTTTATCCACGGAGCCATATCTCCAGCCTTCAAAAGGTCTTTTAATTTAGTATGTACCTAGAAGAGGATTAAATAATACTGTAGCCACTTACTTGTAAGCTCAGCGAAGTCACATTCATTATAATAACAAGTGCATTGAATTGTGCATAGTATGATTGGGATTGAGAATTTCATTAAAACTTTTGGAGGCATTTTAATGCAGGCTTAAGCATAAGGGTTAGGGTGAAAAGGTGCTCATAAGAAAGTAAGACACATGTAGGAATGTTTGTGTGGGATTCTCAGAGACTAGTTGCTTGGGCTGTTCTACACATGTCAAATTAATCTTCATTTACATGTTGTCATGGTCATCTTGATATCTTATACACCTGTAAAATATCATCAAAATTCAGTTTAAAAAATCAAGTTCTGTGAGGCTAATATTTCCCACCAGAACAGTGGTAGAAATTGACAAATTCATGATGAAAGTGTGAAGAATCTAGAACATATCAAACATGACTGCAATAGGTT